AGTGAAAACATTCTCTGCTGTACGAGGCCTAAAAATTGACAACCACACTTTCAATACGGCCTTCGCAAGCTTTATAATTGAGAGAATACGGAAACGTACTTGACAACGTTTATCACAACGGGTTAACCGTAACACTCTTTATTTGTTGCAGCAACAGAAACAACAAGATCCTCTCAAAAAATTTTAAATTCTGCCAGGTACATTATTAAAGAAAAGCAGCGTGTTAATCAGGAGCTCTTTTCAGAACTCATAGAATCCGCGGTCAACAAGGAAAGAGGTGTGGGTAGAAACACGAGACGCAGTCGAGTGTTTTTCCCACTTTGAGAAGAAAGAAAATATACTTGAAGCGCGGCAGTTCAAATTTAACGCGTGCCTGAAGTTTTTAGTCGCAGTGTTCAGTGAATTGTTCTGAGTGAAATCCGGCCGAGTTGGAGATTATACATAGAAAATTGCAAGTTTTTTCACATGATGAAATAGAGAACAAAATGCTCAAGGCGTGTGTTTTATGAATGGACGACAGCTGGATTCAAAGGAACATGAAAATTGCTCGGGATTATAGCGCCATAAAACTCGGCTGCAGTGACTGAGCGGCCTTCCACTTAGCGCATCAGAAAAGTTATCAGAGCAAGCTCTAAGCTGTTTACTCGAAGGGCGGACGATGTAATTTCTGAGGCTTGCTTCACTGCGATGACCGGAGATCGCCATGAGATGGACTCCAGTAAAGCCGCAGTCGCTCAGACCTCATCATGATTTGTATAAATTTTAACAGTTATTCCAGTCTAGGTTCTTTTCATGGACTCACGAATAAATTACACGACTCCGCACCGATAGCATAAATCGACAATTCAGTTTTACGAATCGTTATGATCCGTGATTTTGGAAAACCCTCTAAGCTGCCGCGAAAGATTAACTAATATCAATCAAAATTAGTAAACCAAGTCTTGCGTCGAAATTTCGAGTCAAGTAAAAAAGAAGAATTACCGAGTCACGAGATGATTAATGCGCCCGAAAACTATTTAATTCCCTACAACGTATAAGGAAACTAATACACAAATAAAATTGAAAAAGAATTGAAATAGCCAAACCGCGGGAAATGTAACCGCATGCTGAGGAAGTGAAAACACTTCACAAGGTTCTTTTACCCATATTATTAACTCGGCATCGGTTCAACAAAATAAAATGTGAAATTTCTATCTTTTGAGGTACAATGGGGCCCAAGTGAATACATTATAGACTGCCACGTATAGAAATAAAGTTTTATAATTTCAAACTGCCTTCAATTCATTTCATGAGAAAAATCTTAGCCAAAAACAAGGTAATTTCTGTAATTAACGCTCAGTCAATGCTCTCAGAAAATGTGAAACGTTGACTTGTCAATAACACATGGCACAGGTAACAACGCACGAGGAATTGATTATTGCAGTTTTCGAAAGTCACTGATGATTCCCGACCTGAGGCTGATCGTTGTAAAGACAAGCTCCAATGTTTGATTTCAATTTCCTTAGCGCGGAAAAGTGTCTTAAAAGCGACAAACAGCGTAAGATGCATATTGTGAATAATTATAATGAAAAAAAATGTGATCAAGAGAATGCTTTCCAAACTCTTAAAAGAAAATTGCCATAGTACAGAGTTAGTTTTAACTACCTGTTTGCCTGGAACTCAGAGTTTAGATCATCAAAATTACCACATCGTGTCATGGACACAAACAACTTTTCTATGCCTTCTACATCCTGTACAGCTGATTTTACTTATGAAGTAATCATTAGGGAAGCTAATAATTGCGTTTGGAACAAAGACCTGAAAGAACTACCCGTGTTTACGTTTGTCCAACTCTATGATTATCTTATGAAAAAGACATTGAAATACAGCAACCTCGATGTGTCAGCAAGCGCTGGATACAAAAAGTTGAAGGCCTTCAACTTTTTCAAAGAAGGCCACATCAAGGATCTTCAACTATTCCAAAAAGACAGCCATGTATTTGTTAAAGCAGAGGTTCTGGCCTCTATGAAATCTGAGAAATACAAGTCTGTTTTGGTTTTTAATTGAACGAACAACGATATGGTAAAGGCAGCTTGAAAGTGTCATGCGGGGTGAGTACTAGTAAGAATTTTTTTATGATTTCAAGATAAAACTTGCCATTTGGGAGCCTCAAATACCTCGTCTATAATGGATGGGTTATTCTCTTTCCAAAAGTACAGTAGCACTATTAGCTTTTCTTGCCTTTAAATGGTGCAAGTTTGGCTTGGCCCAAAGAATAACTATCTCTTTTCAGAACTTAAGTATTTCTTCCTATCGGTTGCGTTTTATCTATTTTAACAATGAAGTATTTTCTCTGATATTAGTTAAGATGTTGAAGTACATCATGTATAGAAATTGAGGATTA